GACATAAAAAATAAAGATTATAAGATTACATCAGCACAAATAGACCATACGCCAGCAGACATAGAAGAATTTATAACACAAATTAAAGAGTTATTAGATTTAGGAGTAATTCGACCTAGTAATAGCCCACATAGAAGCGCCGTATTTATGGTAAGAAATCATGCAGAAATAAAAAGAGGAAAGGCTAGAATGGTCATAAATTATAAAAGATTAAATGACAATACAGAAGATGATAAATATAATATACCAGATAAAGATCAGCTCATAAACAGAATACAGACAGCAAAAATATTTAGTAAATTTGATTGCAAGTCGGGATTTTGGCAGATAAAAATGGAAAAAGAAAGCATACCATGGACAGCCTTTTGTTGTCCACAAGGACATTATGAATGGCTAGTTATGCCTTTTGGACTAAAAAATGCACCTTCCATATTTCAGCGTAAGATGGATAGTATATTTAATAAATATAGTTTTATATTGGTATATATAGATAACATATTAGTTTTTAGCTCAGATAAAAATAGTCACATGGATCATTTATATATACTATTAGAAGAATTTATAAATAATGGAATAATAATTAGTAAGAAAAAGATGGTATTAAATAAACCACATATAGAATTTTTAGGAATGGAGTTAGGAGATGGAAAAATCAGGCTACAACCTCACATAGTTAAGAAAATTTTAGATTACCCAGATAAATTAGAAGATTCAAAACAACTTCAATCATTTTTAGAAATTTTAAATTATGCACAAATGTACATTCCTAAGCTTAGTAAAATAATAGGACCCCTATATAGTAAGACCACACCTACAAGAAAAAAATATTTCAATCAACAAGATATAGCTTTAGTTAGAAAAATAAAAGACATTTGTAGAAATCTACCCTCCGTACAACTTCCTTTAGAATCTGAATATATAGTCGTAGAGATAGATACAAGTCGATTAGGATGGGGAACTGTATTATTAGCTAAACCTAGCAAGTATGATAGTAAAAACAAAGAATACATTTGTAGATATAGTTCTGGAAAATTTAAAGAAAAAGATACAACCATGACCAGCCTAGATTTTGAGGTATCAGGAATAGTATATGCAATAAACAAATTTAGATTATTCTTACACAAGCCCTTTACAATTAGAACAGACTGTGAAGCTATAATTAGATTCCATAATAAACTTAATGAGCACAAACTAAGTACCAGAAGATGGGCAAAATTTTTAGATTGTATAGAAGGACAAGGATATAAAGTAGAATTTGAACATATTAAAGGGAGTGACAATAAATTAACAGATTGGCTAAGTAGGAAGATTTATTTAGGAAAATAAAATAACCAGTTTAATTTTTGTGCAGATAATGGAGAACATCAAAACCATGAACTTTGGGGGATTTGCCCTTCCCATTTATGAAGGCAGAAACAAATTCAGACCATTAACAGAAATCGAGCTAGACCCAGTTCAACAGTGTCTTCTAGATAACCTTTGGAACAACCATAACCACCCAGCTAAACGTCTGTCAGCCTTAAACTCCCTTAGTATATATTTTTCAAAAATCCAGAATAAACATTTGTCTAAAAGCTTTTCTTTTTATGTAGTAGCTAAAGGAACCAAGCCGGGTATTTACCATGATTGGGTAGAAGTTGAACCCTTAGTTAAAAATTTTCCCATACCTTAGTTTAAAGGATTTTATGATTTCGAGTCAGCCAGTACATATGCCCGAAGACAAATAGGAACCAGTTACTTTATCAGCCAAATAACTAAAGATTATCTGGACACATTGGGCAAGATGCAGTCCACTATTCTTGCTACTAATGGAGTTCCAATTAGCCAGATAATTGGAAGCAGTAGTACTAACCCTGAGATAGATTCTCAAAATCCTCTCCAAATGTGCAGACATTGTGAAGGCCTTACCAGAAATTTCAAGAAAATTATGGAAAGGCGAAAAAGGTCAATGAAGAGCTAGACTAGCTCCGAGACGAAGAAAAACAATTGAGAGCTACCATTTGAACCCTAACCAGCTAGCTTAAAAAACTAACTCCAGAAAAAGCACCCACTCCATTTCTTGACCTAGAAACCAGACAACTCACCAGTGAGGGATTTGAACAATTGAGTGCTAGAATGTATTTCTTCAGGCAATCTATCATTCGATCTTTTTGTGAGAAAAACCAAGAAATAGAGGACCTTAAACCCTACATATACACCTTAGCCGAAGATAGTAGAAATAGCGAGTTAGTCACTATACATCAGCTTCTTCAAGACCTCTCCATAGAAGGAGTTCAATGCCCGGTATAGCTTATCAATGGACTTACCTCTACGAGGATGGAGAACAACCCTGCTTACAAGAGGAAAGGTGTATAGACAGGCCATAATATTTTGATAAATGTCAGTGTAATTTAGATTTCAGTATCTGCCTTTGCCAGATAAATCTAGCAACGTTTGAGCCATTGGAGATAGAGATTAAGGGCAAAACGCTTTATCTAATAGCCTCACAATTGTTAGATTATGGCTTTGTCTTTAGAATAATTTTCTCAGATCCAGATCAGACAGATAGTTTTGGAAATAAACTTGCTCATGCAGTACTTTGTGTAATGGAAGAACATCATCCATATGTAGAAGCGTTAATTGGTAGCAAGCTACCAGAATGGAAAGGAATAAGGTGCATCCCAGCCAAGCATAAAATGTACCTTAGAGGAACTTCAACATTTCCAGGATACCCAGGACTTCTCAATCGGAGACCCTGGCCATGCAGAAAATTTTCACCCAGAGATCAGCTCAATAAATGGAGGAAATTTGCTAATAATCCTCTATTAGCGTGCAATAGAAATTATGGACATCTAGTTTGTGAAGATAGAAATCAGAAGATATACTGTAATCTAGCTATCCCAAGTTATCCCTTCAGTAAAGAAACATTCGTCGATGAAAGTCAGTATCCCAACTATCACCATAGCGTCTCTCATGAGTTACCACTAATGGGAGAAGATGACCAAGATAACCAATGGGGGAATGAACTAACTATGGGGGATGATTTTTACGATCAACTCTCAGCAGCAGACCTTGAAGACCTTTCAGATAGAATGTATGGGTGAGAAAAAAAAAAGATTAAAAAGTGAGATTAAAAAAAAGATAAAAATAAATGAGATTAAAAAGTGAGATTAAAAAAAAAAAGATATAAAATCATACTTATTTAGAAATTGAGATTAAAAATAAATATTATCTCATTCAATTACTGTTATTAAATTATTATTTTAATTTTTTTTATTATACTTCTAATAAAAATGGAATATTTTTAATTCTTCATGTGTGATCTATGAATATTATTGTAGTAGTGCACAATCTTTTCATTCATAAGGAAATATTTTCATAACCAATTAAGTGAATTTATATTATTTTATTTTATTTTATTTTATTTTATTTTTTTTTAAATTAAGTGATGGGTACAACTAAAATGTAAGGGGTGGTTTGTGATAATTTAAATAAGTATATTTTTTGATTTTTTGTGAAATATGGATTGTGTATAGGTTAGGTTTGAAGTGATGTGATAAAGAGATGATGTGACTTAAATAGATGATGTGATTTAAATAGGATAGTAACTTTTTAATTTAAAATAGGATAATCACATCATCTTATTTAAATCACATTACTTCAAACCCAACTCATGCCCAATTCATATACCCAATCCATATTCCATAAAAAGTCAAAAAGTACATTTATTTAAATCATCCCAAACCACCCCTAAGGTTCATCAAGAAACTTATGTATCTATGTTTTTGAACCCATCTCTTTTGGTAAGTATTACAAAAATTTAGTTTATTTGCTTTTTTTTTTCTTTTTTTTTTTTGACTTTTTTTTTTTAAAAAAAAATGTAAAAAGATAATGTGACCCAATAAGTCAATAAACCAATAAATTGACTTTTTCTCTACTTTCCAAAACAAATAAAATGACATTTTACTATGTTTAGCAATAACTTTTAGTGGAAGAAAACTCTTTGCAGACTTGCATTGAAAAATTAAATTTTGTTACCTTTCCACTTGCTCATACTTATTTATGAAGAAATGCATTAATTCTGAATGGATGTACAAATAATGCACAAAATATTAAGACAAAAAATAAAAAATAAAAAATTAAAATACAAATGTGTTTAGTTTGAGTTTTTTAAATTAAGTTTTTTGATTTTTATGTTTTTTGTTTTTAGTAAATATTTTTAAAATTTTAAATATTTTTTTTTAATTTTTTAAATGCACATTACTTAGATGTATCTAAAAAGTAAAAAAATAGTGAAAAAATATTTTAAAAAATTAATAAATACATAAAAATACAAAAAATGTACTGAATTCTCATTTTTTTATTTTTGGTATTTAGTGAATTTTTAAAAGATTTTTTTTCACAATTTTTCTACTTTTTAAGTATATTTATGTTAGATATGCCTAAAAAGTAAAAAAAAAATTGCTTAAAATATTAAAAAAAAATCAGTAAAAAAAATGCGAAAAATAAGAAAGTAAAATTTTCTGAAAAATATTTTTAGAAAAATAAAACCAATCAAAGTACGGAATCTCATTTTTATAGTAGTGTCGGTCTCCCGGGCAATGGTGCAAGTCTTTTTTGTATTTAGTGAAAATATTTCTTATCTGTCAAACTTGTATTAAAAAAAAAAGAAAAAAATTACATATAATGTAATTATTTTAAGACTATTCCACTTTTTCTGCAATTTCCCCAATATTTATTACAATTTGCGTACTTTTCATATTTTGTCCACACAGCCCACTTGCAAAACCTTCAGCTAGCGGTAACCATCACCATGTGACAAAACCATGCATTAGACCTTATAAGGAATTACGTGACACCAGATAGGCTTCTGTCGTTGTCTTTTTGTTGTTTTTCTCACCTTAGTGGTCCTCTGTTTATATATACTAGTTGGATCTCTACGCACTATGCGCGTGAGGATCATATTATCATTGACAGAAATAATATAACAAGGCAACGATACAATATTTTCTTCAAAAAACTGACATAAAATACACAATATTTCTTATTTTATATCCTATTAATCATAATTGCTTCTTACATTTCATAAAATTATAAACCAGCAAACAAAAGGGCCCATTGTTATCTTAAATTGAAACTACGTTTGCTAACTAGTTGGAAGAATTGTTTTTTGTCATCTCTCTTTTCCTTCTCTCTAGCACCAACGCTACCACGCCTTCCAAAGTTCGAGCTGAAAACAAATTCCCCTAAGAGTTTTTCCTACGAAATTAATTAAAAAATAACAGTAGCAATTTGCTGGGTACATAACATAAATATTGCATTAATTGCTTTTACGAGCATGCGCTTGAGGAGATGCAAATAAAATATAAACCACTCACATTTATCACTGAAAACGAAGAGTCCAAAGTAAACATGGATAATGCCATTACCTCAAATCAAATAGAGTAATCATGATAAATTGCTCCTTCCATGGGGATGATTACTCTTCAGAAGCAGAGAATAGCAACATCCCGAGAAGTATACTCACAATCAAGCAATCAAAATATACCATCCATTCATGTAGTTCAAATATCATAGTAGATGAACGAATAGAAGGCAATAAGGACTTACCATTACATATAATCTTTCTTTACTCATGAACAAGAGACAACATAACCATGTTCTATAGTCCACTAAGTCCACTATTTGTTTAGTCTTAGCTGCAAAACAAAACACTGAACAATAGAACAAAAGCCTCCTCGGTGGGTATGATTTAAATAAATGGTTCAAATCACAAATATCAAGGGAGAACACCTTAGGAGTAATCCCTCGTGATGCCAGTTGTGATGTGATAGACAGATCCTGTTGACCAAACCCAATAATCCCATCAATTACTCTATCTGTCTTGGTTAAGTCCCCAGATTGACAGGTGCTACACCTGTTTCCAAAACACCCATCCAATATACTTAAGTTGCAAACCCATAAAACTAAAAACGAACATTAACATGTGAATACATACATACAGCAACCACAATAGAATAGAAAGCTGAAAGTTTAAACTAACATACAACTCCTAATATATTGAAGAGCAATTGTAGCTATAAGATACATTCTGCTAAGCCCCATTACCTTAATAACCATCTTTTAGTTAACCTTTTCATCATTTCATTCTTCTTTTCCCAGTAATCATTGATCGCCATTCAGTTCTAGAAGCCTTATCCTTCTTTTCACCAGTAACCATAACAATGTAGAAAAACTGAAGATAATGAACACCACTTTTATTTTATTTATTTATTTATTTATTTTGTGTGTGTGTGGGGGGGAGGGTTCATAGAACATGTTTTTTTTTACTTAATGCCATCCAAGTACATGATTGGTTTAGTCAGGTTGGATTAGTTAGCCACTGCCACATTTGCTTAGAGTTTTTTTGTACATGAAGAAATGGTATAGTTAAGCAAATAATGGTAACTATGTGTTTCCATGAATGTATTAACATACTTGGGCTTCTGTTGTGACTCTCCTGACCATCTACTCTCTTCATCTATTGATCATTTTTAATCCCACAAGAAAATACACCATCATTAGAATGAATATTTGTGAACAGTGTGGACATAATTTGAAAATGAATAGCTCAGATGAAAAACTCATATAAGCAACAAATCTCAAATATCTTTGATCACGAGACATATAATTATCACTATAAATAAGAACCATAATTCCAACAGTATAACATTAACTACTTACCCAAAAATAGTTGGAGCAGAAGAGTTAGCGACTAAAGAAGCCCCCATATTTGTGTAAAAATTTTAAATACAACAAATCAGTTAAATAATAACCAGATGTCCCGCTTCCATCTCCATACTGAAGTGAATCATCACACTGATTACTCTGTGAAGAGCATTCAACAGCTGTAACTTGAACTACAGAAGCACATATTGGGTTAGAGCAAGAAACCAGAGATGCAGTTGACGAACTGGCAGTGTCAAAGAAATCGAGCTCAATCTGTACAATATGTACATCGACATAGGCCTTATATGCTAGGTACACATTTCTATTGCCTTACAATTACCAGACCTCAAACTCAAAGGGCATGAAACCTGGAGGAAAGGTTTTTTAACCTAAAGTATAACAACATAAGAACATGGCATGAACTCAGCTAGTGGCCAGCAAGCACAACCATATCACACAAGGCATCAAGCATACCATCTCACATCAATCATTCTTTTTAATAATAAATTACAAATGGTTGCTAATCAGGTCCATCAAACCCGCATGATATGTTTGATTATTCACTATACACACTTTCAAATCTCCATTTCAATAGCATAGTTATTATTGTTGGAGAGAAGAAACTTAAGAATGTGGGCATCAACATGTAGACAGATACATTAAACATTAAAAATTGCATCATTTCTTTTGTTCCAAAAAGTTCAAATGACAACAAAGGAATAAATCCCACAGAATTTTCATTATGTACCTAGTGCATGGAATAAAAAGAATCGATATATACCTAAAATATTTGTCTTTACCATGGAATAGACCGTGGTGGGTTTTTTGCCCTTTTTTCCTTCTTGTTGGTGAAATACAATCCAACACAAAAGTAAGGAAAAATTACCATCCAAAACATTGAATTGATAGGACCTATGTTGCAAACATACCATTTTCATAGGATTTGTAAAAAAATAATAATTAAAAGGAAAAGCACACAACTGAATGGAAGTGAGAGCAAAGAAAGAGTAAGTTATGAGCTGAATCTCAAATAACCATCAATACCAAATCCTGGTGTTGCTGTTAATTGTACCTGGGTTTGACACACACTATGTTATCAACTCAGAAAGTCCTTAATTTTACCAAATATTACCAAAAATGTTCTTAGGTCATAATAAATGAAGTTATGAGTTCATAGAAACATTAAATCAATCATTTAGTACAAAAGCAAATAACCCATATCAAAATCAAGCTAAACATTGATATAAAACTAAAAAAACCCAAATCAAAGATCTAACAAAACATAACACACCAATTCCCAATTCAAATGAATTGATTGAGCTCGGATACCAAAACAGAGAGGGAGAAACACAGAATCAAAGAGAGATTAGAGTCAATGAACACTTACCTGAACCCACTTGTTTGACTCTTATAAACCAGAACTGTTTTTGGCCTTAAAATGTCAATTCTCATCAGAAAGACAACAAACAGATTAACAAAGAAATAAAGAAAATGATCGTCAAGAAACAAATGCATAATTGAGAATGATAAACTAAATGAGTATAAGCATAAATATACAATAAAAATTTACATTTCCTGAGAAATATCACTAAACAAGAAGCAAATATCATTAAAAGAAAATAAGAAAATATTCAATTTTGTTTTATTCAAGTTCTATGCAATGAAAAATCAAGAGCGTGTTTGGTTAGAATCAAATAATTTTAGAATTGAATTTTTTATACATAGCTAGTTAGATATATTTAACTGTCAAAATTGAAACCAATAAAAAATCTTCAAAAGAACTTTTTTTTACAAAACTTTAAAATTGCTTTTCCCTTTTACACAAAGAACAACCTAATCTACAATTAGAGGATTCAAATCCTGTTCTCTTGAACACTTGCATAAAATTTGAAGCTCAATATTCGATATTGGTTCTGCTTGTAATGATACCAATGTATTCAAAAGCAAAGAGAAAGCAAATGAAGACAGAGAGTATTGAAATATACATACAGAACATCTTAGCGATGAGTTTGAGCTTGTCCTAGGCCTCTTCGATGAGCTCTTTGACTTGGCCACTTGCGAGGCGCTTCTCGATCATTTTTTATCTGTAGAGAAATCAAATATCAAAACACATTACAAACTCTATCTACCCAAGAACAAATGATTTTGAAAAATTAATTGAAACAAACTAAATTGTAAGAAATAAGCCAGGGTTTTTCCTTGAAATTTGGTTGCAATCTTAGGAAGAGGCTTTGCCATGAAGAGAATTTATGGGTTATTTTAGTCAGGCATATTGCCAAACAATTGGTATGCATAATTTCTCCACACATTAACAAGCTCAAAAACACATACAATCAGGCATGAACATCTCAATAGAAGACAAACAATGAGCAGGAATATCGCCAACAGGTAGAGCAAGAAGATGGTGGTGCGAACTTTAAATGTTGCCTAACCAACTCTTCTACAAAGAGGTGCTCCAAGATTATAAAATCGAGGTACACCGAACAGAGGAAACTTGTAGAAGCCATTGAAATTCACACCAGTGCAAACAAATGTGAAGGCAACCAACGGTGAGATCAGCTGAACAAGCAAACAAAGAGCACCGCTTTCTTCTCAGTACACAAGAAACTTATGAGAGGCTAGATGGTGGGCTTTGGTTGGTTGGGCGATCGGCAGGATCAGGATGGAAGGAACACACTTTGAAGACAGCCCATTGTTTCTACTGTCGTGTGTGTGGCTAAGCTGAAGGCCACATAGCCAACTCCAATTTGCTGTGCAAACAAAGAACCAACAGACTTACATGAGAAGCACCGGTGTTACACAATTCGTTACACCACACTTACCTTCTTGTTATATATGTTATATATATATATATATATATAAGGTTTCATCCGTTATGAAATTGGTGAGTAACCTGGCTGATGGTTTGCCTGGTAACCAGCCAGGGAGTTAGGCCATTTCACTTTAGCATTAGCGAGAAATGATGAACATTATCCTTTAAAAAAATGATTTCTAGTGGGACTTGAGAAATTATAATCCAATTAAGATTGTATAATGCAGAGGTATTATTTGGTAACACTTACGTTTTTAATTTTTTATTTATATTTATAAAAATTAAAAAAATAAAAATAAAAATTTGTTTGGTTAAATTTTTGATTTATAAATCAGTGGTCTCAGTTTATAAATTTGGCCAAAAAATGTAAACTCAAAAAATGTGTTTTCGTTTTGAGTTTTTAGTTTTTTTTTTTTTTACTACCTGTAGACGTCCCCGAACGCCCCGGGAGGACGAGTCCCCCGTTCCGCTCGTATTGGGCTCACTACAGTTCAGGACTCTCAAATTGTAACGGTCGCTCCATTCACTGGGATAAACTGTATCAATAATTACTATTTTATTTAAATCACATCATCTTTCTACTACATTTCAAATTCAATTCATACACAATTTATATTTTATAAAAAATTAAAAAATATACTTATCTAGATCACCTTAAACCACTTCTTACATTGTTTCAAATACCTGTAATTATGGAAAATATTTTTGTGGGTGAGGCAAAACCAACCCATGGAAAAGTGACAACACACAAGGATGAATCATAGATGGATGATGTTCCTTATCCCAAACAACCTTTCTTTTGGATTACACACATACGGACACAACCATGACCAACCATCAAACCCAATCCCTCCAAATCCAATTGTACCCACTACACACCATCAATCCCTCACTGTACCCACTTCTCAAATGGACGCTCTCTTCGTTAACCCTTCTGTCTCCCGCCTCAAAATCTACCCCCGTCTCCGCCCCGCCGCCGCCCCTTTTTCTCCCTCCTCCCTCCGCGCCGCCGTCACCCCCCACCACCACCCCCACCCCTACCCGCCACCACCCGCCACCGTCACCCACCCACCGTCACCACTTTCCACCGCCGTCTTCCGCCATTTCTCACTCTTTTTTATATTTTTTAATTTTTTTAAACATTTTGTCAATTACCAAACGCGTTTGTAGTTTATGTTTTTCTAAAATTAAACAAAAACCAATTTATAAAATTTTTATAAATATAAACTGAAAACGTAAACGTTACCAAACACACCCAGAAGGTATAAAAGTTCAGAGATAACCTAGAAACTAGTGATGCAATTTTATTCACAAGATTCAATATAGCCTTTTGCGCTAACTTAAGCATCGGAGGAATTTTTTGACACACACCTGCCGGTAAGCTCATCGTTGTTTTGCAGGACAAACGACATCATTCGTGAGGCTTTAGCTTAATTACAAGGAGTACGCATGTGACGAATTTTCCGTGCTTTACAACACTACTTATCATTGAATCTTACTTTATTTATCACACATTGTGATAATTTTACTAAATATTAGAATTGATTTTACTTACTATTTAATATGATTATACTTATAATTAACAGACTGATCTATTGACCAAAACTTAGGAATCACAATAAGGTAGGTTTGAAGTGCCTCACCTCCGTTCATTTCATAATGGGATGAGGCAAATTAAGGAGGTAGCAAGCAGAGCCGGAGTCAGGAAATTAAATCAGGAGGGACATTTTAACTACAGTTTTTTTTTTTTCTTTTTCATAACCAACAATAAGAAGATAATAATAATTTTTGAATTAATATTAAGTACAAAAAATTAAATAAATTGTTAAAAAAGTATTTCACATAAAATTTTATAATTAACATCGAGTAAAATCGAAAAGAAAGTATTACATATAACTAGTGTATCATGGACAATGTAAAAAAATCATATATTTAAGTTGTAAAATAAATTATATAATGATAAGATAAATCAATTTTTTACAAAATTTGAGTAAAAATTCTATATAATAGTGATATCACGTCATTATTGACATATGATATCACCAACCAATAGTAAAACAACATATGAAGGGTGAACTCTACATGCAAATATAACTAACACTCTAGTAATTTATATATATATATATAGTGAGATTAATTATATTTGCACATCAATAATGATGGATATTACCTTTATATTGAGATTTTTTCACAAAATTTTCATACATAAAAATATAATTTGTTGTAGTCACTTCATTTTCAATAAAACAATCACTATTGTTTTCATAAATTTAAAAATGCCTTTGATATTTTATTCTAAATATTATTTTTGTTTAAAATTTTATTTATATACATATGTAAAAAAAATGAAAAATAAAAAAAAATGAAAAATCCAGGGAGCACGTGACCCTCCTAATCCCCATGTGGCTTCGCCACTGGTGGCAAGGGCAGGGTAGGAGGGAAATGAAAATTGATTAATTTTGTAATTTTAAAAATGAGAATATTGAAAAAATTAGAAATAAATAATAATCTATAATTAATGAGTTAAAAGATGTAAGATATGAAATAAGTGAGTGAAAATAAATATTGAATATAATATTTTAATATTTAATCTTAATATGTTGGAAAATATTAACTTAGGTATTATATATATAATATATAATTAAGCCACGAGCGAAAGAGCAAAATCTGTCCCTGTCCTCGTCCCGCTTCTTCATCGAGGTATGGGAGCTTCTATTTGCACACACTCATTCCCCTCTTTACACATCTTTTTAAATAAATAATTGGTTCGGGAGTAGTATTCTGAAAATAAACAATTGGTTCGAAAGTTGCATTCCGAAAATAAATAACTTGTTCGGAAGTAGAGTTCCGAAATTTTTTTTATTTTTTCGACATTTAATTTCCAAATGTGTTTATTTAATGTCTATAATAATAATTTCACTTGAAAATAAAATTATAATAAAAATAATTTTTATTAATTATGTATAAAAAGGCGAATGAACATGTGCAAAAAAAAGCTCCCATCGAGGCATGGTGTAAGGCGGAGCAAGGCGGGAGAAATTGTCATTCCTACCCAGACCTTTCACCTCACTAGGAGGTTAGGAAGTCAAAATTTTCTACTTATGGGCCTTCTTCCTCATTATGTTCTCTCTCTCACTTTCGAACTTCTTTATATTAAGGTAAGTGATTTACCAATAAATTTTGTGTACAAAATTTTTTACTAAAATAATATGTCAACGTCAATTTGGAAATAACAAGTCTCTTTTTATGAGTTTTTTAATTTAAATGAATTAATAGAAATTTAATATATCACTTTGTATGAATTTTATGTATAACTTTTCTTTTTTATTTTTGGGTATGTATAACTTTTCTTATAATGTCATATAGGAGAATTCTATTATACACACTGCATATCGTTTACACTTTTACTTATATCATTTTCTTTTTTAGTTATGATATTATTTTAAATTATTTAGTTATGACTTTTTTTTATATTTAGTTACAATTTCTTTTTTTAAGGTTATAACTCAAAAAGTATGAAATTATGGCATTTTATTCTAAGGTGCATGTAATCTTTACCTATTCTATATCATTTATATATATATAATATATGACCAAACTATTATTTATTTATTTATTTTTGGAATAGTTCAAAACAACTAGTTTTGTTTTGAACAGTTGAACCCGAGACAAGAGGGTACTTTTGTTCTCACATGTACAGAGGGTCACAGACCCTTTGTTTTGGGGTGGGCTCCAATATGTATTTTGGTTAATACGGACATACGGATATGGGGGTGTTGCTGCTATGACTTAGTCACAGTAGCGATTTATTGTGAGTCTGTGAGGACCTTTTTTGAGTCTTTTTTGATAATTCAAACTGTTCATATTGTAGGGTTCGTCATATATGCCAAAAATCACGTTAATCAGAAATCTGTAACCCATGATCATATCCAAATTGTTTTACAAAAATAATCAAGATAATGTCAACCGTTAATTTTTTTAAAAATAAATGTGCTCTTGTTATAAAGTTATAGATTTCCAATCAATTTGATTTTTGCATGAATGATCTATTCAACAAACCTTACAATATGAACAATTTAGATTATTGAAAAAGACTCAGAAAAAGTCCCCACGAACTCATAGCAGATTGTAGCACTGCAGGTTCGGGGGACATACGCCCTTTATTTTTAGGGGTGGGATCCAATTCCCTCTCAATACAAAAATTATATCTATACAAGCATGAAATAATCTTCTCGTATAATCATGTTGATCAAGTCAGCGCTTCTCCAAACGTCATCGCTTTACTCCCTGAAAACACAAACGTGAGTTAGCCGGCTGGTGTGTGCCGGATACCTCTCTGATGCCTAAGTCAGCAAAATAAACAAATAGACAAAAGCTCTGCGTATTCGGGAATCAAAGTTGTGTTACCTCTCCATAGGTGATGTTGTGAGCTTTTATAAGTTCCGTGTGGCACAATCCTAGTAGGACTCTTATTTCTCCATGCAGAGTCCTCTTAGGAATTACTCTCCTAAAAGATAATGCTTATTTTTGAACACCCCCCTCACTGCTTAAACCAAGTGAGATGGTCTTAGCTCGGTGGTATGTCCAAACGACCGAGCTAGCATTGCCATGGCGCAATGACAATGTAACCAAGCTAACAGTACTCATGTTACATTTATCCCGGCGCTTTATGTGTAACATGTACCTCGGCTTCGCCTGTAGACCGTGCTATCCATAGCGTACTTGGACCGAGCTACTCAATAGCAAGGTCCTGAGTAGAAGCCAAAAATACCTCGGCTCAAGATGGTTTGACCGAGCTAACTGTCACCGCACCGACCGTGGTGACCGAGCTAACCACCAAGCTCTTTCGGACGGGGCTATCTGCAAGGCTCCTCTGGACCGGACTAATTACAAGGCCCCTTTTACTCAGGCCTTCCTACTGTGGCCCACAGAATGGCCCATACCCAGCTCGACCCAATTTACATATAAATTACTCTCTCAATTGCCCCTTAATTCCATCTGCGCAGCATGATAGGGATTACCTGTTACCAACCGAGCTAAAAAAGCTTTAGCCTTCCAACCGAGCTAAAAAACTTTAGCCTTCCAACTAAGCTAAATTCACATCGTGCTACCAATCTGTTCGGTCAAAACGTCCCTTCAGTCTCTAATTGAA